AATTTTCAGAATCTGTTGAATTACACGCACATACCTACAAACCAACAGGAATACTGTTGCTCCAAACAACCTAAATCTGGCCGTTTTTTGACAATGTCACTCGTTGCATTTAAATTTACTGTGTCCTTGCAATAAGTTCTTCAATGCTTTTTTAACCCGTATTTTCAACAATGAACGTCTCGCTACATTTTTTTTATTTTGTTTGAACTTATTTTCAGTTCTTTCAACATACCGTTTATAACAAAATTTGTCAAATATCCATACTCATTCATTTCTAGTCATCTTCGTTTATTCGTTGAGATTTATTTTCAATTGGGACGCAAAATCTTTGAACTGAAAATTTCAACTTAAAGAAATTAGATAACAAGTACTTTAAAAGCTAATCCAATCCTCATTTACTCAATACTTTGCGAGTTTTATCTACTACTGACGTATCTTGAATATCATACCAACATGGGTTAAAAATATGATACAATGGTTACAGCAAATTTAATTAGGTTAACAAATGCGGATGGGATGGTGAATGAACAAATGCAACTGATATCTCTTAAATAATTGTTATATATCTGATCTACTAAGACTCACACAGCGTACGTGAAAAAACACATCAACGACTAACACATCACACATTGTGTCAAAATAAGTGCGATTCAATTTTAACTCCATCCATGCAAGGCTTTATTTTTGCGCCATCTGGACGACGAAAAGCAACATAATTAACAATATATTATAGTGTGAAATAAGAGCAACACAAATAAATTTGCGGAAGATTTTAATTTATTACCCGCATTATGTTGTTCAATAGAGAAAAACCAAGTTTTTCAAATCTTTATTCAAAAATTTAAATTCAATTAAAATACACTTCTTAAATTTACTTAATAAATTATTTATAAAAATTGATACTGGCTCGCCGTTAAAAAATCCATGACACCAATAAAAATCAAGAATAATGTTGGAGTATACAAATTTGAAATTTCGTGAACCTAAAATATTTTGAATTGTAGTCACTTCATCAGAGATTAATTGTCATTTATATTTTTAAAAATCACGTATAACTTACACATACAATCACTAGGAAAAATGAAATAAATAATAAATGTCTGTGTCTGAAAGAACTATCTCGGTGCAATTTATTTTTTGTTGCAAATTATGTTTTTTTTGGGCCGTATACAAACAGCATAAAAGTGGCATTGCAGACCCTTTTTTCTGAATAAAAAAATTGAAAATTAAAAAAAAAATCAACGCTGGTTGATCAACATCATATAGAACAAACTAAAACTTTCAAATGAAGCATTTACATTATCTTAACGTCAGAATAGTATTTTTTGTAGGTAAAAATGTAATAAAACTTTACACAACAAAATCCAATCATTGTCGTCTTAAAATAATTACAAGTATATATATAAAATGAAGAAATCACATCCAGCCAAACCAAAGTAACACGCCGGATCGATTTATAAAACGGTGATGAGGTAACACTCCTTATCAAATGGTTATAAAATAGAAGAAAATAAAACATTTTTACATTAGCTAACACAATGCTCTTAATTAGATATCAAGATATCGTTACGTTAATAGCACGCAATACACATCCATGCAATTACAATAAATAAAAAAATACGTATGCAAATTTTATGATTCAAATTTTTTCAAAAATGTGTTTATTTCTGTTTGAAATTTATCTTAATCCTTACAAGCCTTATATAAGCCTGATCTTAAATTACGTGAAATGAAAGGGTTAAACGACATTTTCGTTAAACACTTATATTTATATAATAATTTATATTTTTGGCAAATACATCTCCAACCAAATATTGTAAATGATTTAAATAATAAACCGAGAGAAACAAAAAAAAAGTTAGAATCAAGTTTGTATGTTAAAACATGCGATGGACATAGATGGCAACGTATTCAAAATCTCATGTAAGAACCAAGGCATTCAAATATAAACGTACTTTTGTATGAAGCGGAACATGAGATTAATAATCCTGCCAAGTTGTTATGTAATTATATACCTTTACTGTATACATACAAGCCTTAATCACTTCATCCATTCACTCCTTCAAACAACCAACCAACAAACTCATATATTTATATACAAATAAATATATAAATAATGCACGTAAACAATACATTACATACGGACAAATATACATAGATAGGTAACTCAATTGTTTGAAGATTACAATGTTAAGCACAATTGCAACTGAATCCAATGATGAAGATGAAGACGTGAGCAAATGCATTAGAACGGTTAGAAGAACAAAAATGTAAATCGAACGTCACCTCACCTACGTATTTTAAATTTATACAAACGTCACACACACACACACACTGCATATTATACATAATATATATATATATCACATACTTAATATTTTCGTGTGTTAGCGGTACTGAGCACTGTATTTGATTCAAATAAAGCTTGCCAAACATTGAAACTGATGTAAATTTTTGAACGGTAATAACATGTAATGAATAAGTAATTTATTCATTATTTTCTCGAATAAGAAGCTTATGCTATTAGGATAAATTTTGTGAGCAGAACCCAATTAACTTAAGATAAAATCATGAAAATAACGGATCAGAAAGTAAAGAAGTTTGAAAAAGTAAAGAAAAATATTGAAGAACAAAAATAAACGAACAACTCACTTTTTTAAAGATTATTAACGCACCAGTTTGATTTGCATTTGATCCATTACGTTCATTATGTGCTTAATTTTATTTTGAAGCTTTTCTTTTCAAAAAAAGAAATCTTTTAAGAAGGGTTTCACAAAGCAATAAAGTGCTATTTTAGTCATACAAAGCGGCATCAGAATAACAAGAAACGTATCGTTTAAAAACACACGCTAATTTTTGTGCCCCGCATGTCAATTTCAACCAGTGCGTGTGTAAGTTTGATTTTTGTTAGGAATAAAACATTAATAAGGTAATGATTAAAACAAACTTCGTGTTTTTACACTAGTGATTGAATTTATGAGTGAAGAAAATATAATATAAAATGAACTCTTTCCAGCTGATGAGAAATGTTTGATTTGAATCTCAAAAACCAATCATTCGATAACAATGTCGTGAACAGTCCTCAGCCGGCTAGCACGAACAGACACAAGTACACAGACACACACACAAGTACACAGACATACACACAAGTACACAGACACACACACAAGTACATAGACACACACACACACACGGACCGGTATATAACAGGGTACCGCTGCCTTAGTAACGACAATTGTTGTGACATGCACGTGCGAAATGATTCAATCTGACTTTTTCATTAAAACTGTCTATATATTCAGAAACTCTTGAATGTTAGAAAATCTGATAAAAAATATAAATGAAAAGTAAATAAACAAATAAATAAATGAATAAATAAATGAATAAATAAATATACACCAAACTGGCATCTACAATATTTACTCATAGTAAATAAACATTTATAATTCTAATAATATTCATATTCATGGACGTATTCAGAAGTGAAAAATCTAATCAGTTGTCGAAAATAAAAAAAAAGAAAGAAAGTAAAGAAAGAAAGAAAAATTACAGCAAAAATATAAAAAGTAGAAACAGCTGTGTTTTAAAAGAAATCATAAACATTAGATAGATAGAAAAAATATATAAATTTATTTTCCATTTAGAAAAAATATTTCGCATATATACGCATATATACACCATCCACACAACCAGTCAAAGTAAAAAAATAAAATCTAAGAATGAACATTAATATAGTTATGAATATATATGAATATATATGAATATATATATATGAATATATATATATGAATATATATATATATTTATATATATATATATATATATAATAGCTAAAATAATATGGCATTTATTTAATAAATACAATTCAATTAATTTTTTCAAAAAGTAAAGCTTACTTTAATGAAATTGCTTAACAATGAATGAATGAATGAATAAATGAATGAATGAACGAGCGAATAAATTAATACTTTAAAAAAGGAAAAAAAAAACGCATCAGACTTAATTCTCACGTGAATGAGAATCATAAATTCAATCTATATGATACAGTTCAATAAGAAAATGAAAATAAAAAAAAATCGAATATTGGCGACTAATTAGTTTTGCTTCTTGAAACAACAAAATGAAGTATTTATTTATTTTAGAATTAAAAAAAGAAATTAAATGAAAAATAACAAAATGAATACGTAGAATTCATAAGAGTAAAACTTTTAATATGTGATGTTGTTGGCTCTCCAGAAGATACGACGAAACCAAAAATTATTCGCATTATTATTTTATTATATTATATTACATCACTTCAAGTCTGCCATATATTTTAATTTATTTTCTCATTTATTTATAATATTTTCATAACAAAAGCATATATTTTTCATAATAATTGACAAGATCTACAAGAAGAATATCCTGATTTTAGGAAGGACACACAGAACAAATTTTAGAGCGGAAAACGTACAAACATGTGCCAATGTGTACATTTATATGCACACTTACACACAAACACACACACAAACACACACACGCAGGTTAATAATGCTAGACATAATATAGCAAAGATGACACCAAATTTTCTCGCTGTCTTATTAATGAAAAAATTATTTTATTTAATTAAGTTATCGCATTAGTACATCTTCGAAACTAAATTTTAATACTTTGGGAGAATTCTAAAAAGAATCTTGAATAAAAAGAGTAAACAATTTTTACATCGAGTGACAGGATAAAAAAAAATTTAATTAACATTTGCCGACTTATTTAAAATATACCTAACGTAAAATTTTTAACATAAAACCCTTTTTTGTATGAAAATAAATAAAAGTGATTGCAACAGTGCTCAAATACACTTTCATGTTTTATAAAATATTTCATGTTCACACTAGCATTCATAAATGATGAGACATTTTACAAAAGCACGTGCAACAAATCTTTTGCGATTTCATCTTCTTTATAAATCATTTAGAATGCAAAATCAGATAGTGCAACGGCAACAACGTATAATCATCGTATAAATTATTCACAACGATATTAAAACTAATGTTTTAAAAATAAACCGTCACAACAATTAAATGTACCCATTTAATCAAGAAATTCGATAAAATGCAACTGAAAAATATATATCATCAATCGTAAACAAGAACGCGAGAAATTCTGCACCTAGAGATCAACATGATTGCCGCTGATTTCACCACAGCCACCGCCATTACTCAAGGAAGCATCCCCAGCAAGAGAAGAAGCAGCAGCAGCAGCAGTACCATTAACCATTTTATTATCACCGAATGCCGAACTCGTAGTTGAGTGATGGTTGAAGTGATAATCTTTGTTCAAATCTTCGAGGGAACAACTACTGCTGATTTCCGAATCTGAGTTGATGTTTCTTGTGACAGTGTTGGCCACATCATCCAGTTGCGGTGATTTTGGAGAGTCACTGTATGTCGAACTGGTGTGGCTGGATCTCGATGACATACAGTTCTGAAACTGTTGAAATGAACATTCAATGTTTAATATAAGTATGAAACATGATCATGCTATTAAATAAGAAATCAGCATAAGTGCCAAGGAATAAAATCATATTAATGTTATAAAATCTACCTTAAACTTCCTGATACTGTCAGCTCTCATAATGCTCTCGATATCGGAGCCAGCAGGCAAGTAGGAGCAGAACTCATCCGAATCATAAGATAAACATTCAAGAGATTTTAAAAAATTCTTCCCACTGAATCCACCGATGACAAAAAGTCTGTTGCCTTCCAGGACGGTAACTCCCATGATGGATCGAGGGATGCCAAGACTAGGACCAGCAAACCAGCAGTTGTTGTCTGGGTCAAAGATTTCCACAGATGTCAAGGTCGTCTGCTCGTTGCTGCCTCCCACAACAAATAACATTCCTGTGGTGAAAGTGAAGAAGGAAGCATAGATTAAATTAACAGATCAAAAATGTTGAATGAAAATATAGTTAACAAACAAACCTTTGAAATACGCGGCCCCGGCTCCTCTCCTGGCGACGACGAGTGAAGGCAGGAAGGACCACGTATCAGTGAGTGGGTCGTAACATTCGCAGGTGTTCATGAAGTTCCAGGCATCACAGCCACCAAGCGCCACAATCGACGTTTCACCATACGAACATACTGCAGCCTGCGAACGACCTGCAATTATTAACAGTGGTTGCTTGATCATTATTTCATGCCGACTGCTTGGTAGGAGTTTATTTTCAATATATAGTTGAACAAATGTTTAAATTGTTTCTATTAAAAACGATAAATTAATTGTCGATTCTGAAATAAAACTAAAAAATCCAAGAGCAAGAGTGAGCGATGAATAAACAAACCAGTGCTGAGATTAGCAACATTGGTCCACTTGTTGGCAGCTGGGTCATACATCTCACACGAAGATAACGTTTTGGAGCCACACAAGCCACCCACTACAAACAACTTGTTACCACACACTGCCACACCTGTTTGAAGTTGTTGACTCAGATAATATAAATTAAATAATACAAATTAAAAATAAATTAAATAACAGTTACAGGAATTGCTTGTAAACTCAAAATAAAACAACTGTTAATTTATAATAATAGACTTATCATAGAATTTTTGCAATTACATGAAAAAATTGGAACATTTAGTAAGAAATAAAAATAGAAATATTGTTGAATGTGATGCCATTAATTATTCATATAATATCGATTTGCTGCAGCATTCAGTACATTTCATGCAGTAGAAAAAATGCCTGAAGCACAATAGAACAGTACAAATGAAGATGAAACAACGAAGAAATCGATAGCAAGTGCACAAACGCGTTAACGAACCTGCACCAGACCTCCTGATAGCCATATCAGGAACATTAATCCAGGTATCACTGGCGACATCGTATGCCTCAATCGAATTCAATTCATTCGTGCCATTGGAACCTCCACAGGCGTACAACTTGCCATTCAACATGCTGGCAGAAAATCTTCCACGAAGTGTGCTCATCGGCTTGATAGGACACCACAAGTTTGTGATTGGACTGTATATTTCAGCTGTGTTGAAGCACTCACCTCTGTCGTAACCACCTGGTGAAATAATTATTTTATCCACCTTAAATTTTTGAAATCATAAAAATTCACTGCAGTAAAAATTTTCCAAATCGTTTATTGATATTTATTACAAAAAAGATAAATTCAAGTGAACTAACCAACAGCAATGATGTTTCCATTTGCCACTCCAACTCCGAAGCCACATCTGGCAGTTGACATTGAAGAGAGATGTGTCATGAGACACTGTGGTTGGTTGCGATCGACTGTCATGATGACCTCATCAGTGGTGTTGTCATCATCACCAGACGACATCTTGCGAACGTTTTCATCCGACTGAAACTTTATTGACACGCTCACCAAGCGCTGGTCAAGAACGGCCAGGCATATGAAGCTTTTGTCTGAAGAATTTTCAAGTTGGTGAAAAATATAATGTCCATTCTTAAGAAACTTTCTTGTACGTGTAATTCATTAGTTCATTGAAAAATAATGATCCAACAACATTCTCATTTTTACAAAAGACATAACGTTCATTTTGTTTACAAGAAGAAAAAAATTGACAGTAAGTTGCTTAATTGAAAATTTTAACGTAAGCACACAATTCAAGAACAAAATGTTGCACTGGGGTAAAAAAAAGTTACACGAAGAAAGATCATTAGGGAATGAAAAAAAATACAAAATTCTCCATGTAGAATGTTGAATATAAAAAATGAAAAAAAAACAGAAAAATGATAAAACTTGTACCAGCAACAACTGCAGATGCAACCATAGATGTGCTAACGTCATCTTCATCCTCACTCTGATGGAGAGGAGGCTGAGGTGATTTAGTGCCCGAACTGCTGTTCTGCCTCTGGTGCTGCAACGAATTCCTCTTGTCCTTCAAACTCTGAAAATAAAAACATGTTTAGTGGAATTTATGAATGAGAAATAAAGAATGCATTTTTCATTTTATGCAACATGATAAAAATTTGGCAAAGGAATTACTAATATTTGTAGTGTTAAGATAAAACGGGATGTAAATTTTTATTGACCTCTGTGAACTTCTTCCACATAAAATGAAGGTCAGAGAAGAGAGTTAAGAAGGTGAAACACTTAAAATAACAAAACAGAAATATAAAACACCTAGCCAAACATAGACTGCATGTGACATACTGACGAATGCATAGAGCAGCATAAACAATACACAGGCATGCAAATGTATAATAACGTAGAACATCAATATGCAATCAGATAAGACGCGCGCCAAACTTATTTACACAATGAATAAATGAAAATATATAATCCAAAAGAGGAATGTAATTTAATGTAATGCCTGCTCAATAAATAAACGACCAACCAACTTAAATGAAACATACATTCAGTCAACACTACACCAAGTGATGCAAAAATAAGTGTAGCTTATGAAGAGTATAACACTACACCAAGTGATGCAAAAATAAGTTTAGCTTATGAAGAGTATAACACTACACCAAGTGATGCAAAAATAAGTTTAGCTTATGAAGAGTATAAATACTATTTGGAAACCTTATTTCCCTTGCTGACGTAAACAAATGAGTGGAAATGTAACAAAAGCCTAAATACACACACTCGCGCAAACACAAACACACACACACCTACACATACAAACACAAATAAACATAATATGTGACTAAATGACGATTATACATAATATAATGCAGTCAGCTGTATTCATATCAAAAGTTAAGCTCAACTGTTCCCATGTAACCATCCCAAAAACCAAACTGTACTTTTGCAACCAAGTATACATACATACAAAAATGTAAGTACACAGAGAGATGCAAAAAACAGCTCAAATTTGAGAGAGTTGCATTAGAAACAAGAGCAAGACTTCAAATAAGATCAAAGATTACAATCGCTACATCATCCTGCATTATTTGTTTCGCTAATGGACCATCATTCCATCCATCCAATGTATATCAATGGGTTGTACATTGCAATAAATTCTACTTTAAGGGCAGAATAGTGGAAATAAAAATATCTTAGACGCATATAAATTCATAAATAAAATTAAGTACACATGAAAAAATTGAAACAAAAATAAATTACCAAAATTAAAAGTACAGTTAAAAGATACAGAACATAAATAATTCTAACTAATCATCATAAAATGATGTTGCATGAACACAGCATGTCAAATTCTATGAGAGGCAATGAATGTCAGCAATAAAGTTGAACAAGCAATTAATAAAATGCATCTACATGTTGCTACAATAAAAACATTCTTGAAAATAAACTGCCATTGTTTTGGTTAAGAATTAAATCAAATTCTAAATATATATAATAAATAAATGAACAAAATAAATAAATCAAATGCGAACTAAAACAAAGCAGGGAGAGAAAGAGAAAAAGAGAAAGAGAGAGAGAGAAAGAGGTGAAGTAAATAATCAAAGCAATTATATGGTCATTTAAGCATGAATGATGTTCATCAATTGAAATTTATCAAGTTTGAATTTATGTAAGACTGACTGCCTAACGAAGTAGCTGCCTACTTAGAACTAATCAGCCATTCAGGAATTTGTAAGATTTGCATAAATGTGATTAAGTCATAAATTCTCAATATTTAAAGACTCTCTGAAATTAAATAAACAACTGAATGTTCATTGCACTTTCTCTCAAACCATACACATATAAAACAAGCATGTATAAAAATATAAAAAGCCAACAACCTCCTAATTGAAAAAAACTTTATCAACTTAACGCCAAAGTAGTGAGCATATTATATTTTAGGAAGAGCGCATATGTGTAGTGAGTGGTAAGTTAATGAGGTTGTTTAAAAAACTAATATAACAAATACTATACTACAGATAGCAAATAACTGGTTCAGACAGAGAAGTGTAATAAATTATAAGCTTAGACAAAAAAATATTGTTAAGAATGCCAAGAAGAATGCAGAGCCAAAAAGTCAAACAGTGTTTTCTTCCATCAGTAACAACAACTTCAGCAGTTTTTAAGCTGAGCAAATAAACTCTCTCTCTCTCTCTCTCTCTCTCTCTCTCTCTCTATATATATATATATATATATATATATATATACCTCTATCAAATCTTTCTCTCCTCTGCATATAAATAATGCAACTCTTAACACTTGGTTTCGTATTCTAAGCTTCAAATTCTGTCAGTGACTGACTTACCAACATGTTGCTTTTGCAATACGTGATCAGATCATAATAAAAAAATGAAACATCTTGCATATAAGCCAACATTAAGCTATTTTTTATTTTAAAAACTAAGATAAATAACCTGAGCACATTCTCAGAAAAACCGCCATAAAACAAATTAATTTATACACAAACAGACTTGTTAGAATAAGATAATAATTTTTATCAGTGCAACAAAAAATTTGACGAAAAATTTAAAAAGCCAGAGCTGACTTAACAAAGAGCTCATTCATAATAGATATAAAAACCAAGAAGTGAATAATAAAGATGAACAAATGAATGAAGTAAGGAGCAACCACTAACTGGTTTTTTGGAGCATTTCTTCTTATAATCCTTCACAATGTTTGAGTTGTTGAGCTTTCTGTCGGGAAGTTCCTCCGAACAATCGATCAGTTTATTGTCTGGGTTCAAGAACAAAAAGAACCTCAGCTGGAAAGAAATTAAATTATTAATTAATTAATCAAATGAAGCAAATAAATAAATAATAATGTTTCTATTGTATAAATAAGCTAAAATAAAAAGTACATAGACAAAAAATAAAAAAAATGCATTTGTATTTTATTATGACAATTGAAATAAGAAACTGAATAGAGAGTTGAAACTTAAAAAAATAATAATGAACAAAAACCAAAAACACACCTGTTCATCTGATGTCTTGTCGATATTTTGTTCGAGCAGCCAGCTGACCACCAATCTACACAAGGGTTGTTCAGTCAAGTTGAAATCAGGTGAGACTTGTCCTGTCATCCATTGAAATTGAACAATCACATCAGAGGTCAATAAAATATTTTAAATAATAAATAAATAAACAAAATAACATGCAAAAATGAAGTAAATATGAATGCAATAGTGCATTCAGTCAAATACTCATCTGTATAATTGATAAGATAAATAAAATATGTCTTCTGGCTGATTAACATGATTGACTGAGTACTATGCTTAACAATGAGAAAATAAAATACGTATTTCACATGGGTATGTTTTTTCATTTTAATATGAGGTAAAACTCAGTAAGAATTAAAATTGAAATTAGTCAAACATTGACTGCCTGACACATGAAAAAAAAACCTGTTTGTCTAATTAATTTTAAGCCTCTGAATGATTAATTTATGATCTCAAATCATTCATTACAATCCTCATAAATTCACATTAACTATCATCATCAACGCCATTACAACTATCATCATCATCCATCCCTCCATCCATCAGCATTGATACCATCTACAAAAATAATAACACCATTTCCAATGACTATCATATGACAATGAAAAAGTAATACATAGAAACATCCATCACCCATTTTTGGGGGGCTATAGAACGCATACATATCACCCAATATGAATGTAAATAAAATATGAATCTATCTACTCATTGCAGAATGGAAAAATACATAACCACGGAAAAATCATTCCACAACAACTACAAACACATCTTCCCGTAAATGGTAACTGGAAATATATAAATGATTGTAATACAACTAGGTAAAAAAAATTAATACAGCGTAAAAACTTTGTTGGGGAAAACATTCAAACACACATACACACGCACGCACGCACAAACAGAGATGTACAGACAAATACAGAGACACACAAACAGCGCCAACAAAGAACAAAGCAATAAACATATTAATATTTACGAAGACGATGATGATGATGATGATACTGTGAGTGATGCTTAACTACTTTCAGGTCACCTTCACATCATCATTGCAGAAGTTTGCATTCATAAACACAACTGCATGTGCGCGCACAAGTTTGTGTGTGCGCGCGTTTGCGTGTGTGTTTGTGTGTGCGTGTGTTTATGTTTGTGTGTGAAAGTTTTTCTAATATATTGGAAAGCACGTTTTTTATACCTGAATTTTTGAAAAATGAATGACATTTATAAAATAATATTTATTGCAAATATTAATATAAAAGTAAAAGAGGAGATTCAGTTTAGTATATGAGTGTGACTTGATTATATTAATTGTGATTGCTATGGATGATTTCTTAAGACACCTGAGGCATCAAAGAATGGGAGAGCAAGCATGAGCAAGACATACTGCATTGTGCACTAAGTGGTGTACTTACTTTTGTGTACTGCCTCTATGTACACTAGTGTACTTGCCATGCATTTGAGAACATTCATGTTTACCTGTACTACACTGACAAACTTCTTAAAAGTCTGTACCCAGTGAGATACAATCAACAGTAATAACTGTAGCAACAACAAGAATACATATAATACAAAAATGTGGTAAAACTAATTGACAGTACAGTACGTGGTTTCTAGAGCCAACAAATTTTTAAGCATCTTCATTATGTATAATATGTACTTTAGTAGCAAAGTCATGATGGCAAGAGAATTTATAAAAGCAAGAAAAAACATAAAAAAAAATTAAAACCTATTTTAGAGGTTGTATTATTGATTAAAAACAGCGTTGACATCATTATCCTTGGCATAAAATTACGGAAGTCTAAATATATGTACACGTGTATACACTTGGTTGGAAAATTTATTGAATTTATATATATATATATATATATATATATATATATATATATATACACACAATACATATTATTTATATATATATATATATAATTTGTATATATATATTTATATACATATATACACACACATACATATTAACATATCCAGGTATCCCCATAAGATGATATTCACACATGTGTGTGTTAGGTGCATGCATGTATTTCCACAACCTCATTGTGGTTATGTTACTACTGAAGACACTGCATCTAATCTAGCATCAGCAGTCCCAGTTGTATTCAGAATTTGACATAAATGTAAACATGCAATCCATCAATTAACAATGAATGAAAAAACATCACAGACCAACAGACTCATAATCCCAAACAAACTGGTAAATACAAAATAATTTTCAGTTCAAACCAGATGAACCATTCAAAACATTCAAACATTTGCACTCAAACTGGATAAACTGCTTGTGCATAACACTGAGTAAATTGCTAAAAATTTGTTGACAAATAAAATAAATCAATCATTGCATAATATTATAATGCTGATATAATGTTAATGATGTATCTTCATTTCGTATAATAGTTAGATAGCTAGATAATATTACATTATATGATAGCTAGATATTAATACATTATATGATAGTTAGATAGCTAGATATTAATACATTATATGATAGTTAGGTAGCTAGATATTAATACATTATAGGATAGCTAGATATTAATACATATTGTCAGTCAAATAATGAGCAGCAGCATTTCCAACATTACATCACTTCAAAATGCCTTCCATACATTATATCATTACACTGGCCCATAAACCCACAATGGACTTATTAAATACTATATATTAATAAATTTATTATTAATTAGCAGAGTATTATTTAAGTGTTAATGGTCAACCTTATATTCAGTCTGCAATACCATGGAAAGTCAGCCATTGACATTAACTAGAGTATATAATGTGCACTCATGAATGCTAGCATATGCTTGGGCGCGCACACACACCACACAATCACTTACACAAACAAACACACACCCAATTAATCCAACACACCACACAATCACTTACACAAACAAACACACACGCAATTAATCCAACAACAAGAACTAACCCATGATATCGACAACAATACAGGGTAGAGAGCTGAACTCGGTGCTGTTTTCCATGATGACGAAAATGTTCTCCTGTATGTACCTTCCCACCTCTCTCATACAATCCTTTCCTTCAAGACAGCTCACAAACTCATAGGTGCCTGGAGATCAAATATTGTAAAACCATTTAAACATGTATTTATTTGTCTGTTAATTTATTTATTTAACTATCTATTAAAATATTCTAGCCTGTATTTCGGTTAAGCTGGGCATTCATATTTTGCAGTTAGATTGTTCAAGTTGAAGAATTTATTACTATATTTAAGAATGTACAAGTAACAAATACAAAATAACAAATAACATCAAATATCTTTCTTGTAATAAAAATTATCCCATCATAAAAAATTGTCATCCCACAAAATTTAGCAGACATAAAAAAAAGTGGAAACAAAACTATCACTCCAGATCCTAAAATAGAACATTGAATACAATAGCAATAATAAAAACAACAATAATAAGCAATAATAAAAACAACAATAATAATGACATCAATAACAATGATACTGACAACAATAACATTATTAATGTTTATCATAATATTGACTACTATTAACATATAATCATGGAATGGAAATGCATTTAACTCAGCAGTTGTCGTCATCATCATCATCATCATTATCCTCATTACAACTATCACCATCTCCATGACTACCATTCCATTCAATACCTTAGCTGGTGCTGTCATCATCATCAACATCATCATCATCAACGACAACATCATCATCAACAACAACAATATCATCATCAACGACAACAATATCATCATCAACAACACCATCATCATCATCATCATCAACAATGTTACAATCATCATTGTATGTTAAATTAGTTGTTAGAAATGATGCTAAAAAATTCCTGTAACTCATTTATTCATTCTGTCATTCCCCATTCATTTCATTATCCAGTTATCCAATTTATTTGCCCATTCGTCCATCCATCTATTTATCTATCTATCCATTCATTTATCCATTTATTTATCCACCTAATTATTCATCCATTTATTCCTCCACATCTATCCATTCATCCATCTCTCAGTTAATAATCATGAAACCTGAGTATGAACAGGTGAAAATTTAATTACCTCAGGTGATTTTATTATTATTATTATTAACATTATTATTATTATTGTTGTTGTTATTTTCATAATCATCATTATCTCCATATTATAGATATCTGTAACAATCACAGTCCCCATCATTACATTATTCACATTATTTTAATCAACTAGGGCATCATCTATTTTATTATTATTAATTATAGCAAATTAAAACCCATATATATTAACACATCTTAGGCACAAATGAACACAAACACGCGTGCGCGCACACGCACGTACCGACAGACACCCACGCACACACATAAGCAAGCAAACAAACCACAAACAGAAAGCAAGCAAGTTATTTGACTGCAACAATTGAAACTAATTTTAGGTTATTAAACCCATGAAACAACACATTAACTTAATTTTAAAATGTTGAACTCTATTTCAAAAGTCTACTTTAATAAAAAAAATAATCTAGTAATAATAATAACTGTTGAGATGGTGCAATGTTTAAGACGCCTGATCATGCAGTTGTAGTAAATCAGTTCAAATACAAAAAGATTTTTTGGCTGTCAATAACTGGTCACTAAGAATAATAACTAACAAAAGTATTTACACATAGTATGATTAAATCAACCATCCAAATTCAATCAATCATTCAACCCACATTCAATCAATCATTCAATCCACAATAACATTCCATTAATTAAAATAATTACCACAAGGGTGCATGATAATGTAAGCAACACATAACATCCACGTGACATCACATTCAGGTAACATTACTTAGACAATAACAACAAAGACAAAAGCAGTTGCAAGTAGTTTTAAGCAATTCTGTCTACTTCATTACCTGATTTTATGCAAAACACAGAAGGACAGGTGTAAAAAATATATTAAAAAAAAATAGATATTCAAAGTGTCATAAAATTAATTTATATAAAAAAAACAACTAAAAAATTCTTGCAAAAGTCTGTCTTAGAAATAGTTTGTGACACAATAATAGAAGAAAAAATTTACAGTGTTGAGAAGTTACTGATTGCAAAGTATCAATGGACATATAATTTCTGCTTGCAATAAACTAACAATTATTATTCCAGAAGCAATTATCACAACAGTCAGCTGTATGGGTTGTATGTGCAGATAAATTACACACAATTCCTGATTTGATAATTGCAAGATGTTTCAATTATTTCAAATTTATGTCTACAGAAAAAAAAATTTAATGTGACAATTATTTTTTTCAATTTGGAGCTAAATTTCAAACATTAAGAATGCCAACAGGCTAACACTCCTTACTACAAGATTCACTAAAAGAGTCCAAAATAATATATTGCTTTATTTTTATTGCAATACCTACATTCTTATTCAATAACGTAAAGGCCATGGTTATTTAAAATTCTGGTACAATATGCAACAATGGTTACTAATTTTAAGATTATGTACATTCTAATACAGAATAAGTACAGCCTGAGTCACCAATAGTAAATACTTTTTGTGTGTTTTTTTGTGTTTTCAGAAAATGAGAAGTAAATGAAAATATAAATTTCTAAAATCAGAACTCAAATTCAAATTTTTCAGCACTATAAAACTAATGATGTTGCTAGTATGAATGATAAAGACTGACAGACAGTTTTGTAGAAGAAAATTACTGAATAATCCTATTAGATTTTCAAGAAAATTAACAAATATGTTCAGTGAAAAAACGACATGGAAATAATCAACTATAACATGCTAAAAATAAAACAGACAATATTGTTTGACAGGTGTGTGAGCCAACTGAACAAACTCAACTGAACACGAACACAGAGACAACCAAGCTAAACATGCATACACATGACAATGAATAAACTTTACACAAACAAACTCAAATTGCACAAACACAAAACATATACAAAATTATACAAAAACAGATCCAAAGATGCATACAAATAAAGATGCGCAACAAACACACACAGACACAGTTAAACATACCAAGACAATTCTGAGGAGTGAGACACTGAACCAAATATTTGGAGCACTTCTCAGCCAGACTGTTAATCTTCAACTTCATTGCTGTCTTATAGAGCATGCTGACATCCTTGTAGTCACAGCTTAATCTGAATAATATGGTATTATATTATTTATCCAAAAAATATCATCCACGAATTGTGAGAGAATGTGAAACTATTTTGTGCCATTGTTAATAATGAAAAACGTGGAATAATTTAATGGTCAAATTTTAAACAGTAAAAATGGCTATACTAGTTTTTCATAAATGAATAAATGTAAAGAATGAAAAAATGTTCTTCAAGTGGGAGGCAAATTTAGATATGAATAAAAATTTAAATAAAAATGATAAAGAGTAAAAAAAATACAACAAAAATATAAAA